AAGAAAAGGACTAACTAGTGCCGTACTATAAGGATATTCCTGGCAATGTAGAGAGTGAAATTGACCTCACATGTAATTGATTGTGGTGGGAAAAGTATTCTGATCATTTACTTAAAAAAAATGATCGGTATGGAGGAAAATAGAGAGGGTTGTGTTTTCTGACACTTGGTGAGTTCCCTGGAACACCGGGGACACATGTTCATGTATAAAAGACGTACAAAAGTGTATTTTGAGTGATAGGTCACCTTTAAAGTAAGTCCAGCTGTCAGATAAATGCACTGAAGGAAAAAGCTCACACATGTCTTCTGAAATATAGTGAAGTAGAAGTTTTAAAGTTGCAGAATATTAATATAATCGCTTAACATGTGCTGTTACATACATCACAGGTAATGGCCTAGTTTCAAAAAAACAAAACAGGGATTGTCCACTCAACTTCCCAAATAGTTTTCACAACTATTTGTCTTCCCTGTTTTAGTGATGAAAGCACACGAGCTGAACTGAAGAAGCTACCAACTCTTCCCACCAAAGTCCTCAAGGAACATCCGTCGTTTGCATACTGGTACGCTTTTTTGAAAAGCTTATTTGACATCTTGCCTATAACAATGTCTTTTATTGCAGGCCTGTAGATTACACTTCATCACTAAAGCAATACGTGTATGGATGATTAACATTACATGCAATGGCAGGTTCAGTTTTATGGAGGAAGTAAACTCCATTGAGCTAACTAGCTGAAAGTGCTCCGTATGTTTAATTAGTAGGGTTTAACGTAAGCCAGCTGGCCAAACAGTCCTTTACACACAGTGTGAGGCAAGACAACACATAATTCAGAGGAGATAAAATATATAATAAGCAAGATAAATGTAGGACTGCTACAAGAACTTTGCACTGTTTCATTAAAACCTAATTCCCCCCTGGGATTAATGTAGTATTTTACCAAATAAGTATGATTTCAATGTATTGATGGATTGGTGATGAAGAGGAACATTTAAATTAAAAAAACGTTAATTATTTTTGTAAAAAACTGATTTGAGTTTGATAAAAATGTATAAATCTTGTTTTAATCTATTTAACTAACTATATTATTTATCAATGCATTCAGTTATGTTTCTGACGACCGTGTTGCATGTTGTCAGTTACGGGGCTACATCTGTGTTAAAGTGTGAAATTGTGTTTTCTTTATGTGACAGTGAGGATCGAGTAATCGAACATTATAAACAGCTGAAAGGAGTCTCCCGAGGAAAGGCCATTGTTCAGTAAGTACTGAAGAAAAATGTGTATTTGCTGCAAATGGTTCAACACCAGTGATTAGATGATGGATGTATTCGGCTTTAAGTTCATTAATCTTCCCTTCACCTCTATTAGTGCCCCCCTTCTCTCTGTGTCTCTCCGGCACTCCTTTTCTCATCATCTGATAGAAATCAATAGCTCCTCTTCAGTGAATCCCACTGATTTACTGGACTGAGGTCAAACACCCAGTTTCGTTTCACATGTCCTAAGTAAACCCCATACAGCTGTTCTAGCCTGTGGTTTTAACATCAATTGTTTTTGTTCTAGGTATCTGACGTTAGTGGAATCGTTGCCCACGTATGGCGTGCATTATTATGAAGTGAAGGTAGGTCTTCCGCCGTGATGAATGGGAAATGGCAGCTGTTGCACTTGAAACTGAGTCAACCATCAAGCTGTGCTCTTGCCTCACAGGATAAACAAGGGATCCCGTGGTGGCTTGGAATCAGCTATAAGGGCATCGGCCAGTATGACCTGCAGGATAAATTGAAACCTCGAAAGGTAAACATTCCCTGCTGCTCCATCTCTAAAATGGCTGCTTTCCTTTTCCTCTGCTTCACTGATCTGACTGTGGACATGATAGCACAGGGGTAAGCTCTGCTGCTGAGCCCGGTGATTCACTGGCTCGAAATTCATGCATCATCTATTTTACCCCAACAAACGATTGGCTTCAGCTGCGGCGGCAGACGAGGCCAGACTTGAACAATTGTGGCAAAATCTAGAGATCTCTAGCCGTTTGCTTTAATGAGTGTTTTTGCATAAAGTGTGAGATTCATACTAAGAACCTGCTTTTCTCGATACATTGGTGTCGTTTTAGCATGTTAGCTTATAGCAGAAACACCCATGTGAGGGATCTATCTGCTATGTCCATGTTGTTACTCCGGTATCTGCAGGGTGTAATTCACACAAATCTACTAGTCTTCCTGTTCATGTCTGGTAATCGCTCGACATGGTGCAATCCATTTTTGTCTTCTTCCAAAGAGTTGTGCAAGGCAGCGGTGCGTGCTTTGGAGAGAAGAGGAGGGAGTGAGTTGGTGATGTCAAAGGGAAAGGGGCAGGATATGAGGCGTTACAATGCATGCTCTGAGAATACCTGAGGAGACAAGTCAGGAGGTGACAGGGAGTAGGGAACAAAGCGTGTGTTTGTGGTGATAACAAAGGATTTAATAACTTAAACAGGACTGTTTTACTGGTAAGTCTGCATACTTCTTTGCTGGGTTTAAAGTAGTACTGTAAATAGACTGAGCTTTCCTTAAAATAACATTTGTATGGTCATTTAAATATTGAATCAACAGTCAATCTTTCAAATTCTAATAGTAACACTGGATTTGTGTTAATTGTTACTGCGTGTTTAGCATGTAGCAGCATTGTGATACAATATATTTCTCAAAGCAGCCGCATGCTGTATTGTTTTCTGCGTGCTGGTAGTGTTTAATTTCCCAGACACACAGTGAGTCACTGACCCGAACAGGCTGTTCATATCTGGCTGTGTTCAGGGAACACCTGGGTTACACAGGGATAGACGCGATGAGCCATGGAAAGAGCTGTATACTGCGATGAGTTTTTGCCTAATGTCCCCTTGTGGCATTCTTTGCTGTCTAACACCTGCATTATTGCAGACTGTGCATGCCAGGAGGCACAGACCGTAATGACAGTTTATATTACGGTCTGGCTTTTTAAATGATTGTGGCTGAGCGAAAACACCTGCATTCACTAGTCTTTCTAACAGTTTTATTGCAGTCATGCTACTGATTGTTTAGAAATAAACTATGAATATTCACCAGGACGTTAGGCACACAAAGATACATTTTAAAGCCATTGTACCTTACCCACTCCTCTACATTTCAGTTTGAGAACTACCGAGGCGAGCATATCTTCCATTTTCCTAATGAGATCTTTTTTATTTTCACCCCCAGCTTTATCAGTGGAAGCAGCTGGAAAACTTGTACTTCCGGGAGAAGAAATTTGCCGTAGAAGTGAATGATCCACACAGGTAAGCATTAGGAGAGATAGTTCTTTGTTAACCTGCTTTTAGTCAAATATTCACTTGTTTTGCCTACAGTTGTTTAGTCTCTTATTAGGTGTTTCTCTTCAGCTGCATCTAAAGAGATCAGTCATATCCATGTTACTTCTAGTTACATTTGGTTAAAAAATCTCAACCTTCAATCCTCTTCCGGTGTGTTTCTTGCAACAGGAGAGCAGTAACCAAGCGCACCTTTGGGCAGACGGGCCTACTCATCCACACGTGGTATGCCAGCCATTCTTTGATCAAAACCATATGGGTCATGGCTATTAGCCAGCACCAGTTCTACCTGGACAGAAAGCAAAGCAAGGTTAGTGTCATTCATCTGTCACTGCTTCATTACATTTGAAAATGACTTTCAATTTGTGGCTCTAATCTTTGGTGCAAACTGTGTGCAAATATACATTATGGTGCATACAGTATGTATATTTTCTACTTTCTTGTTTATTTCTTGTCTTTGAATTTTTATTGTACAATGCCATGTCTTTTTATGCTGCTGCATCACAAACATNTGCATGATCTGTTTGGTATTTTGAAAAATAAAAAGTATAAATATGCCTTATGGACCTATCATGCTATATTTGAATAATATAGTGTAGGACCATACCTATATAAGGCATATTTATACTTTTTATTTTTCAAAATACCAAACAGATCATGCATTTTAGCCATTCCTCATTTCGCTCAATTTAACACTGTCTTTGCATGGGCTGATTCTGTGAGAACAGCACCATCTACAGGCCTGGCATATGTACTACAGCGTCTCCAGCGCTTTCGAACGGCAATGTCCGTGGCTGTCTCCTCCTGATTGGTGGAGTTGGCCCAATAGCCGTCGTGCCANGAGAGTATGTGTAAAAAAGCAGGAAATAAAAAAAGGAACTCACCTTGTGGTAAACCCGCAAGAGAAAAAGCATTTGAGCTCCATACTGCTTCAGAAATATTATTTCTGAAGCAGTATGGAGCTCAAATGCTTTTTCTCTTGCGGGTTTACCACAAGGTGAGTTCCTTTTTTTATTTCCTGCTTTTTTACACATACTCTCTCCAGTACAGGTTAGCTCTGTGTGTTAGCAATGCTTGCTAATGTAAACAAAGGCCATATTACTTCAAATACACGTTGGGCATTGTTTCTGATAGCAACGTTTCTGATAGTGCCGTGGGTCCATATTACGTCATATCGGACGCAAATCTGGATCAGCTCCGTTGTACCCCCGTTTTTAGAGATTTGGGTACAGAGGAAAAGAGAGAGGGTTTTGTTTTCTGACGCTGCTTGAATTCCCTGACACACCGGGGACACATATTTATGTATAAAAGACATAAAAAAGTGCATTTTGCATGATAGGTCCCCTTTAAAAGCTGAAGTGCACCAATAAGAAGTCACCACTCCACCGTAATGCTCTCTGTCCAAGGTTGTTTGGGGTTTCTGCAGGACACTCTTAAGCAGGTGAGGCCACAGTGAAGTCAAAAACCCAAGTCACAACAGGCTGACACCCAGACCCTTAAAATACGATTACAGCAGTTAATCACCATGTTTTTTTTTTCCGTAATGTAAATGTATCCAAGCAACTGGCCTGCTGGCGTTCCTTATTTGACACACCCTCTCAGCTCAAGAAGAAACTCAAAGGATCCCTTTCATTGTGAATAATGACAGCCTGTAGTCTTGATTCAGTCGGTTTACCATCACGATATCCTTCCACTTGCACAGTACTCCGAAGTCCTCTTTTATCGAACGGATTTCAGTCCCTGTCTTTCACATACTCCCATGCAGAAGTGAAACAAGTGAAGAGGTCTGTTATCAACCGGTGTTTATTACTACATCCTGTTTATACATTTTCATCTGTCACCATCATATGTTTTCCTCTAACAGGAAATAATGAGTCAGCCATCTTGATGTCTAAAGTAAACCTGTTTAAAAAGGAAATGTACCTTTTTATAAGAATGTTTTTTTCACATCTAATACAAATACATTTTAAAAAAAACCTATTGAACAACTATTAAAATGTTGAGTTGCCTTTACTTTAGAATTCAAGTTATAAATCTATCCAAGACACATTTGTTACATAAAAGAATGGAATTTGGACAATATGGTGATTTCATTTAGTTAAATCTTAGCTACTACTTGATTACTACTACTTGACAAAGGAACAGTGAACATAAGACGTTTTCTCCCTCCCAATGGACCGCACAGCACTTCATTGTCCGATACACATGAAATGTACTGAACTTTCAACCCTAGTTTGACAAGAAAAGAAATAGATATGTGTGTCCCTTTAGAAGCTGATATGTCTAAGTGATTTATCATGCCAGCCCAAAGTTCCCTGCGGGTCATGGAGAACAGGTTGGTTCAAGGGCTTTTCTCAGAAATGACTTCAGCAGAAGTTTTTGGTTGACTGAGTCAAAACTCCAAAACAAACCTTGAGAGGCCTCTCACATTAATGACCTTAGATGGTGCTCCGGCCATGCATAGTGAAGTGTGTTTTAACATTTTTGCTAAATTCCATTAACTCAATAGTTGACACATTCCAGCTATATATTTAGTTTGCTGGAGGCTCAATCTTGAAGAAAAAGGCTGCGTCAAACCAAAGATTAGAGGGCAGTGATCACGGGGTTTAACTTGTCGCTCGGCCAGAAACAAAAATAACCCAAAGCTTAGATCTTACTTTGTCCCTGTGTGCTCCTTTTCTGAGTAGACTACTTGAGGAAATCTCTATACATTCTTGAAAGCAAACTATTCCCCTAACTCTTTTGTGTTTTTGCGTCGATAAAGAGCACACGATCCATCATTGGAATAAGCACAGGAAGCACCAACAGTAGTTTACATGTGGCAGCTGCTTTTGGCTTTTGCTTTTCCTGTGTGCCGGGCATAGCAGTTTGCTACATATTGTGAACTCAACTACACACACAGTTGTCCACATTTTCAGAGTATTGATGTGTATTCCAAACATAATACACTATCAATAAAACACCAAAAGGGCAATAGATATTGGTTTCCATTGGTGCCTAAATAACATGCTTAGTTGTTTATTTTGCATGTTTATAGTGCTTTGGAATGTGCAATTTGCAGATAGTGTAGCAAAGACAGTCTAATGGTATCAGCTTTAAGTGTATTACTTTGCAAACTCTGTTTAGAGCAGATAACTTGCCTGATGTGACGCACTTGATAAATGTCATGGCGACAAGTTTAAATGTTTTCAGAGATAGTGCTTCAGGGATCCCAGGAGTGTTCAAGCATTCAGAGAAAAACTGTAACTTTTAAAACCAGCCGAGAATGACTCGTCTAGGAATATAAATATGTTTTACAGTGCTGCCCCATAGTGGCGATAGGCAAAATAAACCTCTATGCTCTTATTTTTGTTACTTTTAGTCCCGGTGGAGCATGCGTTATCGCTGTTACAAATCCAAAGTGTGATAAACGCTCTCCCTTTGCTTACATTAGATTTCTCCCACAGTCCAAAGACATGCAGACTAGATCAAATGGAAATGTAAAAGTACCAGATTGTAGGAATGCTCTGTTACAAGTAAAAGTCCTGCATTCAAGAGGTTACTCAAGGAAAAGTACAAAAGTATTAGCATCAAAATATACTACCAATTACCAAAAGTAAAAGTACTCATTATGCAGATTGGCCCATTTCAGAATAATATATATTATACGTTTTGATTATAATTATTGATCATTAAAGTGGTATCAAAGCTGGTAAAGGTGCAGCTAGTTTTAATGACTTGTTATACTGCAGGGTAGCTTGTGGATTTACTCCAGGTGAAATTAAAGTCTTATTTAAATGTTGATTATATTTCCGAACATTAATCCAAATCTGTAAAATAACTAAAGCTATTAAATAAATATAGTGGAGTAAAAGTATAATATTTACGTCTGAATTGTAGGAGGGTAGAAGTAGAAACAACATTAAAATACTAAAGAAATGTACGGCTACCTCAACATTGTACTCAAGTACTTGAGAACAATGTACTTAGTTACTTTACACCACTGCTCGTCTGTCATGTTATCATTTCTGTCTGTGACTAAATAATATCAGTGTGCTCATTTCCTAAAACCAAACTAGTTAATAGCAACATCTTTAGAGAGCTACAGATGAGTAGAAGTCTGTGCTGGAAGGTAACTGAGTACATTACTCAAGTAGTTAACTGAGTACTTAGTTAGAATTATCAGGTACTTTCTTTGAGTTATATTATGCTATGTACTTTATACCACTACTCCTGTATTATACTGCTACCAATACTCCACTAAATGTATGTGACTGCTTTAGTTACCTGATAATTCATCAAAATACAATCACAACACCTAACATGCATTATTTTAGGTTTAGATAACATGAGATTATTAATATGTATTAATACAGAGTTTACCTAAAAGTATAACAAATGTCCCCCACTGCAATATTAATGATGCTTACACAATAATGCACCAAGAATTATGATGTATTACTACTTTTGGTACTCTAAGCACATTTTGATGCTATTTCTCTGCACACATTTTTACTTTTTTCTTCCAGCAAAATATATCTACACTGTGTGTTTCACATAACTTAAAGATCTCGGTGCTTCTATTAGTCTATTAGTCACACTGTGTGTATGTGTGTATGAGTGTGTGCATGGATTAAAAACTAAAAAGTCTAAACTGCCATGAAGTTGTGTGCAAATGCCTATAAATGTTTCTTCCTACCAATCTTTAATAAAGCCACAGTTCAAAACCCCATGACTATACAGCATTGTTACTTCCTTGTGTTAATTATAAGTCTAGCTCTGCATTATTATTGTGTGTGTGTGTGTGTGTGTGTGTGTGTGTGTGTGTGTGTGTGTGTGTGTGTGTGTGTGTGTGTGTGTGTGTGTGTGTTTGAGTTAACTTTGCTGAGAAACAACACAACACAACACTTCTTGACCACGTGTGACTTTTTATTGGGTTGGTTCACATTCCAAAAAAGATACTGCCACACATCTATCAGCAAAGAAGACTACAAGTTAGTAAAAAGTTGTTTTTGTTCTTTTCAAAGATTAATCATGTCTTCTTACAAACATACAGGCAATGCAACAGTCTTACAATACAAAAAATCATACATTACCAGTGATATCGATCGTACACAAGGACCAGCATGATGCTCTAACTGTTAAATGTTTAAATATGTTTAACAACAATTTGTTGATTCTTCAAAGGCTCTTTTTGATTTCACAGCATTGGATCATGGGAAGCAAGCAAAACGATGGTCGGGGGTCACAATGGGGTCAAAGTTGCCTTCTCTCTGAGTTTCTTTAGAGCCATTTGATCATACCCCCAAAACCAACACAGTGTCTGTGTGTGTGTGTCTGTGCATACAAAGGTATGCGTGTAAGACTTTCCTGTGTGAATGTGTTCATGTCCGCTAACATGCACCTGTATGCCTAAAATGTCAATACTTTAAATAGCCTACTTTGCTGCATAATGAAGTCATGTTTAATGTGTGTGCTAATTGGGGTGTATACAAAATTGAACTAAAATAGAAAATAAAAAAAGCAAATAAAACATAAAATTCACAGAGGTCCCAGAGCAAAATAAGCACTTGCTACAATCTTACAACATTAGAGAATTTACATTTACAGATAAGGCACAGTAAATCATACAGTGGCAGCTGTTTGAATAAACAAAGCCAGAGAATGTGAGCGTAAGATTGGTGATAAACCTAAGGCATATTTTAAAGCTTAACACCTTTTGTATTAAAGCACTTGCCAATGATTTGAAAATAAATTAATCTTTACTCAGATAAATGCATGACACCACAGCGTGGGATTTTACAATTCCTCTGTGATTCCTCTAAAAATCGACAAAACTGAAAACAGCTGTTGTTATGTACATTATCAGACATAGGATGGGGCGTTATGTACAGAGGGAGTTGCCCCTATTTGTTTGTTTGTCTTTGATTTGGAAAGCATGTCATCAGTTTTGTTATTTTCTTGTGGGGTAAAGACCTGCTATGTTCACTTAAAATCAAGTAAAAAGATTTTTTTCAAAGCCGGGTCAAGGATGCTTGTTTTCATTGATGAGCGCGGTTTCTTTTATTGTCTGGCCTCCAACAATACTTTGTGCTGATGCTGCATGATCTTTATCGCCCGGACGCCTGTTTGTACAGAACGAAAAGAGAGGATTTGGCCTGAGGTTGCTGCTATAGTTCATTCTCTGATAGGGCAAAATGAGCCCCGCTCTCTGCCATGGACAACTTATATCACAGTTCACAGTTCTACTTAAAGAAAACAACACATAAGCAAATCTCAAATGAAGAGATGCAGAATCACATTGAAAAAGACATTCAACATGTGGTCTTTTTTGTTGTTTTTCCTCACTAACTCAGCTCTGGCTGTGCTACCTGGTATATAAACATGGAAAGGAGAGAAATGCTCTGAAGTTGATGCACATCTCTCTTCACTTTAAAGAATCCTGTGTAAATGGATGCATATGAGGTGTTATGAGGGTTAAAGGCCTTGCACAGAGTCTAAATCTCTGAATGTGCAAAAGAAGGTATGCTCTTCTCAACCTGAAAATTGACTTTTCTTCCTCTTCCCAAAGAGCTGTGTACCTGTTAATGTACCGGCGCTTAATTGTGTTATTTGTGTATGTGAGAGCCCTTTCACCGTGCCGTGTGCAGCCATATGCTGCATTTGCAGTATGTCGCTGTCTGAATGGGAATGAACGTCAGTGCCTAACTACAGCGAAATTACTGATTTGCAGACACACAAGTATATTATAACTCTCTTCCCCCTATCTACTCAAACCCCCTGTAAAAATGTCTGATCCTCCATCGTATATGATTAAAACTCTTTCAATAGAAAAAGATGTTTCTAAAAATTGAACATGGATTTTCATCAAGTAAAAACATTTCCCCCCTGCATGTGTCCTTTCCACATTTTTTTAAATATAAGAACACACTTAATAAAAAACCTACTCCTCCCAACTTTAACCTCTACTTTTTATATTTCATTTTTATCACAAACACGCAGATTTTGTATCGCCTTGTTGAATTGATGCCAGTGTCCTAAACGTTTTAATCTATCCCTGTTGATTATGTTTTTCATCCATCGGTTTTTGACCTGCTTGTTCAAGAGTGTGCATTGTCTTGAGTTTAATGTGTGTGTGCTCTCTCTTATGCTGAACATTGGGTGTGTGCAGGTGTACATGCGCTCTCTCTCAGGGGTTCATACGGTGAGATCGTCTGACCTGGCCCTGCTGCTGGCTTTGCTCAGTCGGCTCAGCGGTCTGGTGTCTTCTATCGTATCCGTGGCCTCCATCTCTGCCTCGGCTGGAGTTACCCCCTCTACCTCCACATCCTCATCCACAACCTTCTCCACTCTCTCGGCATCCACCTCTTTGGGCTGCTCCTCCTCGACCTCTTCCTCGTGTAAAGTCACCCCCGCTGTCTCCGTGGTCTGGGCGTAGGAGGGCAGAGTCTCGTCATACACCTTAGAGATGACCCCCATGGGCACCACCTCCTCCGCCTTCTCCTCTAGCCCCGGGAAGGGTGGGGCCCCTCTGCCAGCCTCCATGCCCACTTCAGCCAGCGGGTAGAGGTGAGAAATGGGAACTTTCTCCTCCTCCAGCAACCTGTAACCTTTGGCCCTCTGCAGGGAGGGCACAGCCAGGGGGGGCAGGCTCTTCCCTTGTAGCGGCAGCGGGGCCGATCCCTCGCCTAGGGCAGGGGACGGGGCCGGCTTGCGAAAGACAAAGCGGATCTTCTTCAGGCCCAGGTGACTGATCTCCACAAAGTTGAGGAAGAGAGAGACGCAGGCCACAGCCAACATGAAGATGATGAAGACGGTCTTCTCCGTGGGGCGGGACACGAAGCAGTCCACCGTGTTGGGGCAGGGCCAGCGGCTGCACTTGTACAGCGGCAGGATGCGGAAGCCGTACAGGAAGTACTGGCCCACCACGAAGCCCACCTCGAACAGTGTCTTGAAGATGATGTGGCAGATGTAGGTCCTCAGCAGGGTGCCCTCTAGCCTGAACTTCTTGCTCCCCTTGGTGCTGGTCTCCTTGGTGGTGCGGACACTCCCCTGGTCGGGGGCCAGAGGGAGACGCTCCTCGCTCAGCTCCTGCTGCCGGCTAAGTTCTGCATCCTCACGCTCTTTTCGTTTCTCCTCCATGTGGACATGGTGCACAGCGTGACCCACGTACACCAGAGACGGTGTGGAAACAAAGATGATCTGCAGCACCCACAGGCGGATGTGGGAGATGGGGAAGGCCTCGTCGTAGCACACGTTCTCACACCCAGGCTGCTGTGTGTTGCAGACGTAGTCAGACTGCTCATCGCCCCACACGAACTCCGCCGCCGTGCCCAGGATGAGGATACGGAAGATGAAGAGCACCGTGAGCCACACCCGGCCGATCACCGTAGAGTGCTCGTTAACTTCCTCTAAAATATTACCCAGAAAGCTCCAGTCACCCATGATCGGTCCGTAGCACTGCAGAATGAAGGGTGGGGTAGGAAGGGACACAGAGGGTGAGAAAAACAGGGAGGGTGGGGCAGGCAGGTCAGAGAGAGGGAGGGGACAGAGAGGGCCAAAAGTAAGGAATGTAGGAAAAGTCAAACTTGTCAAATCAAACTCTTTACTTAGTTTTATTCGACGATACGTGATTCTATTAATATACCGAAAAAGTTTAAAACTTTTAAAAAGTGGTTTTCATGTCAATTTTTTTAGATACAATTTATTTTTGGGCAAAAGCTCGATTAAACATTAACATTTAGGCGTTGCATTGATTTGGAAGGCTACTTATACTCAATGTAAACACAATTTACTATTTCGAGCAATAAGAGAGAAACCAAAAAACAGCTGGCTCTAGCTCTTTTAAAAAATCCACCCAAAAAGGCCAAATAAAAAAAACTATGAAAAGAGATCAATAAATGACAAACAGTCCCTTCTTCTGTAAGGTATGATATAGGTTAAATGTAATCAAATGGGCAACTTGCCACAGCTGCGGCTCCGGCAGAAGTTGAGTCCTGTCCCGTTCTCTTGGCACCCGGCAGGGAAAAGTGAACTTTGTTCTGCCCTCTTTCCCACCTAAAGCCCCGTCCTTGTCGCCCCACTGAGCAGATGTGAATGAATCGGCTCTGATGGTTGGTTTTTAGTTTGCTGCAATATTTAAGCTTGGAGCCAGACGGCCTTTATTTGCCGGGCGACGTGTGGTGACGCAGGAGACAATAGGATCAACAGAGCCAGAGCGGGGATGTATGGGAGCAGGCCTCAGGCTCCCACACCAACATGGACACTGTACAGGCCACCGAGTCCACAGCAGAGCAGCTCCATGCACGCATTTCCTCACACATATGTATGTAGATGCATAGATACATTGGATAAAACAACAACAGCAGCTGATGTGCCTTCAGCTGCACTGCTATGCCTAACATTAGAGCAGAGAGGCAGGTCAGCGACAAACTATCAGCCCGGGGAGGGAGAGTTTATGTCCTCTTGGATTTACTTTGGACATGTTGTTTACACAGCCACTCAATGCAGAGAGCAGGAGGTCATTTCAATTTTGGATAAGAAAAAAAGATGATGCTCTAATAATGTTTAGTCTTGAAAATTAGTGTCTGGTTTTGTTAAGACAAAGTGGTCGCCATTTATTTCTTATTTAATTTAATTTATTCAATTTACCCATTCACAAATACATACAAGCATGATCCAGACCTATGCACTTCACAGTGATACTATAGAAGTAAAAAAATAACAAAAAAACACAATTCACATATAAAATATTTTAGTAACTCTGGAGAAATCAGAGTAAATACTAATGAAAAAGGCCATCTTGCCACTTTCCAAAGCTATTGAGAGAAAGCTAGTATATCAAAATGATAAGCAACAGTGGCACATTTTGTATCATCCCTACACCAGATACTGTATTAACTGAGCTGTCTCAAGAAACACATTTGATTTCTGATATGCAGTGTAAACGTTTTTCTCGATCTGTAAACCTCAACAGCCAAAGGAAGAATACCAGTTCTTAACTTTGATGAGCTATATCCTAATTTGCAGTCAAACTAGTTTTTAATATTCATATATATTCTCGTTTATTTGTTTTTAATCGTATTTAAACTATTTAGATGCTTTTGCTGTTATACAAATACATGTATCTCATTTGACGTGCTTTTAAACATTTAGCATCTGGATTAATTTACAGAGAAGCATCGCTTGACAATCAGTAGTGTTATCAAACTAACATTTTTAAATGGTGGATAACAGAGTCCGCCTCGGTGTTCATGTGTGCGTGTATCATCATATCTGTGTCACTTGGCTGGAATGTGAAGAATGTGAACCATTGAGTGAAAGCGCACGCTGAAACCTCCCTATTATTGAGGTTGGTCAAACTTTCACAGCTCAGGGAAGAAAAACATCTAGCAGCAGTCTTTGATCTCTAAAATCATAGCACTGCTGTTTGAACAGAGTGAGAGCTACTGCAGAGCCTAAAGAACTCTCTAAATATCGTTTTTTCTCAGTATATAAAAAACATGAAACTTCGTTCAACTCAGTTATTTGCTATAACTGTGGCTCATTATACTAAATAAAATCATAATGCTTGATAATGTCTATTTATATCATATTTTATACTGATGTGTAATAATAGTGTGTATAATTTTAAAAGGTCCCAATTGGGTTGTATTAGGTAGCGTCGTTACTGTTTTATGTTCAACTCTTAACTGGTGACTCATATTTACCATATTTCACCTAATTTTATTTTTGTTTAAATTCTTTTCACACCTATGTTTGAAACAAATCTAAATATATCAAATGTCTAAAACATTTTTTTTTTTAAACTAAATTAAACATTTAGGCTGGAAGGATGACCAAACTTATAATAAAAATCATACAAAAATATGTATCATATAAAATACAATTTTCCCAATAAAAACATCTCTGGTAAAATGATTTAAACGGAAGTATTAAACATCTCCTGCCCACTGAGGACAAATCTCTGCTGATAAAATACTGTAAATGAAATGGTCAGACAGGTGGTTTAGTTTTGAAAGTTGCTACCTTTATGGGAATACTTCAATATGTATACAGTACAGCCTGCTTAGTCTGAGTTGTTACACTAATGTCACTTTAAACTGAAACATTTGGCTTTTTGTATCAGGCAGATGTGGTTGTCAAAATGTGTTTTCACGAGATAAAAACGAGTTAAATACTATAACGATTAAATAGAATACATTTATATCATAACATAAGTGATAAACAATACATAGGATACTATTTGAATCTAATTTAACAAAAGTGTGCATATTTAATAAATATAACGTGTACCTTATGAATTTCAACACTTTGTGCACTTTTTTTTAACTTTTATTTCGTCTTATCTCCACACTGTTGAAAAACCACAAATAAAAGGGAAGGAAGTTAACGATTCCAAGGCTGTCTGAAACACACACTATGTCAAACAGGTCATTTCCCATTACACAAGCTAAGTTCCAGGTTCCACAATTGTTTCAAACTCCCAAGAATTTCCTTCAATGGGAAACTTGTGAAAGTGGACAAATATAAGTTCAAGGAGGTATGACCCACTGTCCTCATTCAGTTTAAAGAAAGCTACATGATTTGAGTTAAAGTACAGGTAATAGTAACATTTAAATATAAATAAAAAGGGAAATAAAGCAATACAGCATCTTTTATTTTTTTCAATATATATGTACAATGGAAGTAACCTCACACTCCAGGCCACCATGTATCATCTATCAATGGTTCAAATCAACAATCATAAATCCAGAAGTCATCACTCCTTTTATGGATATATCTCCACTCTGCCCATCTTATTGCGTCCAACCCTCGCTGCCTCTCGACCAATAGCGTTCTCTGTCCTGGGTGACATCACTGGGCTGGTGAACTAGAAAGTCCACCTCTTGATGTCTGCTCTCTGTTCTGTTGGTTGGTGAGCTGAGCTTCACTGATCCCACAGCTTTTTTACAAATGTATGATGTAATCCTAGAGCAAAAAAAATGGTGCGAGGCACCATCTTGTTAAATGTCCTCAAATCATTTACTACATTCTGAATCACATGATGTCCTGGAGCATCAGTGTATATGTTCATAACTAGTGTCCATATATCCAGGAGCATTGATATTTTCTCATATAAAAATGTCCTCCAACCAAAAAAGCCATAATACTCGCTCTCCTTTGCCCCGGATGCCACATGGGCCGGTGGGTCGGAGGGTAGAAGCCATGTTCAAACTCTGTGGAGGCATCAGGGTGTATCCACTTAGCAGGGGGACCAGGGGACTCCCTTTAAAGAGCAGTGTGTTGGTATAGAGGACGCTTGCATGCTAAGCCCTACGGTGGGCCCGTGAATGGCACCGGGATTTCACACAAAGACATGATGTCATGATGCAGGGTGCGGACTCTATTGAGCACGTGCAGTGAGGCGCAAGGCCAGATTAGACCTCCGAAGCAGGGCACCAACTGGCCGTTAATCAGGATGCTAACACGCTAACAAACATATCGTACAGCGATCTGCCTACGGGGCTCTGGTGCCACACGCTTCCTGCTCGCAGGGCCTTTGAGCGACAGGAAGTAACTGAAATCTTACTGTTGTAATGACCTTATCAATGTAATGCAATTAAGGACATGTTTTTTCATCGAGCAATATGATGTGATTATGTCACATGGTTTGTTTTGGGTACAATTAACACCTCCCATCACTCCCTGAGGGAAATCTCCTAGTAGGAAGAGTATTGAAGTCAATCATTTATGTTTACAGTGTCAGTCAAAAAATATCACAGGGTATTTTGTAGTTTAAATCCTCTGCAGAGTTGCTTCTTATTTGGTAACATTATGGGATCGCATCCTTATTGCAGTCATTCCTGCAGCGAAGGGGAAACTGTCCGTTCCAAACTGCAAGAACGCACGCAAACTTTATTCATACTCACAGGGGTTACATATATGACATATTTGCACTGCTGCTGTGCATGCTTTCATGGAGCTGCTTTTGATAGTGTGGGCCTTTTGAGAGGGAATACACACTTTGACAGGCAAGGAATCATTCTGACTTCTCTTTTCATCTGATGCTTTAACTACTATTAACACTTATTTTGAGAGGCCTTGAAGTTTCTGAACCTCTCTTTTGCAAAAGAGGACAGGCGCAAATCCACTGGTTGTAAATCCTCTAATGAGTCAATGATGCAGAATATCAGCTTCAATAGACTATTCAAATGAAGTGTAAAGAGTGTAATTCATGAAGACTGCTGTATCATATGAGCTAGGTATTTTTAGCTGACAGCAAAAACTCTCCACAGAAAGTGAATTCTCATATAGAGCAGGATTGTTAAGCTTAAGAATATCCAGAAGCCGGGGCAGTACCTCAAATTAAAGAATGAGCTAAAATGACTCTTCATTTTCTTTTTCCTAACAAATGGCAATAAAACACTGAAATTCCTATATATAATAGTTATAATATAACTAAATATAATGTATTTAGTAATGGTG